GTAATTTCTTGTTCTTTATTGGATAATTGCTTTTTCAATGTTTCAATTTCATTGATTAGTTCTTTATTTGCTTGTTGTTGTTCTTTTAGGATGTTTGTCATGATTTTCTTGATTGTCCCTTTTTTTATTATTCTTTTAAGGGTAGGGTAAATCACGTGTCAATTTATATGTAGATTCGGGCTCAAAAATCCAAATTTATGCACGTTACCTTCGAAATTTTGTTGCATGTAAACACAAAAACCCCTTTAATTTTTTGTAAAATTTCAAAATTAATTAGTAAAGATTTATAAAATTCTTAAAATTCTTCAAAAAAAGTTGCCAATCCCATAACAAAAGTATACAACATATAGTAAAAATTACTCATTCTGAAATAAATAAATAATTTTAATTAATTTAAAGCAAATTTTTCACTAGCTTAATGATAGCTTCTTATTGTTTAGTAAAACTATCTTATTAATAAAATATTTTTTATATTTAGCATTTGAAAATGAAAAATCGGTATAAATCATTAACAGAAAATAATATTAATTATAAATTATTTTATTGAAAAGATCAAAGTATTTTTGTTCATGATGATTCATATCAACTGAACACCATGGAAGCATATCAAGATTTATATAGCTCATATATCTTGTGGATAAAAGCCCCTATAGGCATGGAATCTATATCATTTACTCGCCCTGACATTTTTCTGAATGTTCATAAAAAAAAACAAAAAAAGAAATTAATTATGATCAAGTAATTGAAAAAATTGGAGAAAATATCATTGGAAGATCTATAATATATTGTGCATCACCTTTTTCATAATAACTAAATTCACTTAAATTTTTACTAATTTGAATTCAAATTGATATTGATGAACCCCGGTCAGTTTGAGTATAGCCAGCTTTTTCCGGAACAAATTTCAAGCCCTGGTCCAATATGAGTGAAAGAAAGAGAAATAAAAATAAAAAATTATTATTTTCTTTCTTTTTAATGTAAAAGAGTTGTTGGTTTTTATTTATTTTGAATTTATTGTATACATAATTTTTCCTTATGAAAATTTTACCGCACATACAGTATAAACATTGTGACCAATCTTTGCTCCACCTTTTAAATTTAATTATTATTTGTACTTTATCAATAGGTGGGTAACTACTTTAAGTTGATGCTAAACATACATATTTGTATGTATGTTTGTTTAATCTTTGGTGTTGTGGATGGATGTGTCCAACCCAATAATGAAAATGTAAATATATCAAATTAAAAAAAAAAATTTTCCTTCATATGTATGATAATTGTCGTTGTTATTCGACTGTTTTGTGTTTAGACCAGCCTTTAATGAACCAATTGTGTATGGCTTTGTATTGGATTTGTTTAGTTTGTTGTGGTAGAAAATTGTTCAATCCCTATTATGTTTGTGGTCTTTTTTATTTTCCCATTTTATCAACCTTTTATTTCTTTCTTTCCATTCATTATAGAAAAAAATTATTATTTATTCTTTTTGAAAATAATTTACTGTCCCTGTTTGGATTGGTAGGATCCGCCCATATTAATATCGTTTTTCTGTTATAATTATGTAGTTGTCCGCGGGTATTTTTTTTGTGGATAATTAATTACACCCTAAAAAAAGTATCGATGGTCAGCGAAAATAATCGAATAAACGTTTAATATAAACAGTCATTTATTTACTAAGTATGACACTTTAAACTATCACGTTGAATTGATAATTTTATGGTGTTTAAAAGACGAATTAAAATTTTCGAACATTTAGAAAAAGTTGCATTTGGAGCTATTTTATGATATATTTAAATTTTTACAATTATTGGTCGAATATTCATGGAGAATTTTTGAACCCTTTGAGGCATGCTGTCTACTAGCAAAATAAATCAGGATCAAGATTAGCCTGCTGATCAACCAAATAAGAAATCATTTTATTTGTATTTTTTTGGAGAGAACGAGTTACTTGTGACTGAGAACGATTGAGTGCACCAGCGATGCTATGAATGCTCTCCAATTATTCTTCCACATTCAAAGTTTGTTAATTGAGGCGTGATGTTTTAATTAAAATAACAAAGTTGATCAAACATTTTTAAAATAAAATAGTTTTGGTTAGATATTTTAACCGCCATTTAAAGTTTGCTCATCTTGCATAAAAGATTTTTTTCGAGAAAAAACAGAAACAATATTTCCCAAGTGTTAAAATATGGCATCCTAAATAGCTCCAAGTGCAACTTTTCTAAAATTTTAATACGCCTTTTAAACATCATAAATTATCAACAACAATCAGTCCAACGTGATATCTTAATGTGTAATAGAAATCATTTCAGTAAGCATTTTCTTGTTAATTTACAACGTTGATTTACTTAGTAAACAAATGACGATTATTTTTGATCATCAAGTGGGTCGATACTTTTGGGTGTGTACGTAGAGAGGTTTTTCATCTTCCAATCTCAAACTTCAGATAATGAAGGATTCCTTTTATATTACCACCATTCATCAATCTTTTATATATTAATATATCATCATTATTTTGTTACCCGCATATAATGAATAAATGCTTATTATTATTATATATCTAGCTTCCTCGTAAACCAATTTTAAAATTTATTGTTATTAAACAATAACTATGAATAAAATATACAATCAAACAAATACAAATAGAAAGAATTATAAACTTAAAAGATTATTAATATTACTCGTAGTGACAATTATCTTATGGAGTTTAGTGCATTCTTTATCTTATGAAAATAGTATCAAACAAATTGAAGAAATTTCGTCATCATCATCATCATCATCATCATCATCATCAATATTACAAGATTGTAATGATAAATGTAAATTCATATTCCCATATTACATAACAGAACAAGAATCTAAAGCTAATATTCACTTAAGATCACATGTTAAATTGGCTGAATCTTTAGATCGTATTCTAGTGATACCAAATGTTGGCTCATCAAGATTCGCAGCATCTTCGCCATTTCCCCCAACTTTCTATTATGATTTTAACTTATTAAAAAAAATGTTTCCAAATGCAAAACTTGTCCCTCAAGAAGAATACGAACAATGGATTGAAAATCAACCAAATCATAAAAAAATTATTGCTGAGCACATCACTTTATCAGAAACTAAAGACGTCAATGACATTATGTTTACTAAAGGTTATTACGAAGAACTAGAACAACAGCAAGATCAACAAATTGGACTGTATAAAAGTTTTACTATTCTAAAAAATTCTTCTAATTATAGAAAACAGATGAATTCTATTAATAAGAATAAGAATATTTTATACAAATTCAAAATAAACATAACAAAACTTAAGGAAGTTTGGATGTTAATGGCAAGGAAACGTGACGAATTCTCTGAATTCATGATTAAAAGTTTGGAATCCGATTCACAAATATTACTAACTAATGTTAGACTGAAACGATCAATTTTTTCAAACTTAAACAAGCCAATTCCTTATGCAGAACATATAAGGAATGAAGCTTTAAAAATTTCCAATCAGCTTGAATCATCATATATTGCAATACATTGGAGAATGGAAGGAGAATTGCCAGAGAATATGCCAAATTGTGCCATAGAATTGGTTAAAGCAATACAAAAAATAAGAGAAGACACTGGAATAAAAAATGTTTATTTGGCAACTGATTTCCCCATAACTTGTGAGAAGAATGGTAGTATAAGTATAAATGCTGGGAATATTGATAAACATATTCAATCTATCACTTTTCATGACATTACATTTGATCACATTAAAGCAATGAAGATACTAATTTCTGCAATAAAAGACATCAAAACTTGGAAATCTTTAAATGCTTTTGGATATTTAAATTACATTGGAAAAGAAGAGAAAAATAATGGAGATCTTTTAGTTAATGAATTACAAGGTTCTGGTGTACAAGGGATATTAGATAAATTAGTTTGTATAAATTCAAATTATTTCTTAAGTGGTCCAGAAGGTTGCTGTAAAGTACTATCAAGTTATACAAGACAAATTGCAAATTCAAGAGAACAATTGTTGAGTGAAGGAAATAAAAATATATTAAATAGTATCACAAGATGGAAAAATAATAATTAGTAATTCTTTTAATTAATAGAGTCTAATATTGATAAAATAAATTTGTTATTATTATTATTTCTAATAATACAAAGAACAAATAAGTTCATTTCAATTTGAAAATGATTCTTTCTTAATTGGTTAGAAAACATGCATTAAGTAAAAGAGAGCGTGAAACTGCGCTGCTAAAACGCAATAATTATATGTATATTCAATATACGCACACATAAATATATTATAATTAAAAAAAAAGTAATAATTTCATAATAAAATTACTCATTTGCAAATTTTATAAGTTTTTTGTTTTCTTCAACTAAATCTCCAACATTATATAAAATTTCTTCAATTATACCCGAATATGGTGACTTGATTATATGCTAAACAAAAATTTATATATTTAAAAAATTACGACTACACATATATAGAAAATACTCGAAATATAAATTTACCTCCATTTTCATAGCTTCTAATACAATTAAAGGAGCTCCTTTTTCAACTGTTTGTCCTGGTTTTACAAATATCTTTTTTAAATAAAACAAAGATAATAGGAATTATTAATATTGTCATCATCAATAATTTCAAAATAAATAAATAGTAAAGAAAAAAGTACCTGCGATATTTTACTTGGCATTGGTGTAATCACTGATCCTTCATTTTTTTCACTTTCTACTTTAAGATAATTAGGTTCTGGTACTTTTAATACAACTTTACCATGCTTTTTAAAAATTTTTTTTTTGTAAATTTAATAAAATATGGTTTTATATATTAATATATATCAAAAACTTTTGTCCTTTTCCTTCTCAAATTTTATATTACCTCCCCAAATACAGTAATATTTCCATTTTTCTTCTCTGAGATTACACGGCTTATATATCTACGATCTTCAATATCAGTTATTATTAATTGTTCATTCTGATCCCATTTTATAATTACATTTTTAAATTTTATTAATGGTTTGTCATCAACACCATCTTTAATTATTGTAAAATCAAATGTATTATCTTGATTATATCCAACTATAACTTGTATTTCTTTATTATTATCATTTGGATTTAGAAACTTTATAGTATGATTATGTATTATGTTTAACCTTTTTGCGATTAGTGAATTCCAAGGCGAGAATGGATCTAGTATCAATATTAATATAAGTATAAATATAAATATAAACGTACGCGCGCAGATATATGCAATTGATTATTGTTTACCTTGGAGATTCAATGTATTATAATTCTTTAATTCTTCTAATCCATTGAAAATTATTAATGAACTTGCTTGAATTATATCATAATTACTTGGAATTTCTAATCTATTTTCAAATAATTCTGTTTCATGTTCCTTACAAAAAAAAAATTTGTTAATTGAAAAGTCTTGTTTATAATACGTAAAAATTCATTACATGTAATCAATTATTTTAATTCTTACAGAAATAAATCCTGTCTCAACTTCACCATTAATAAAAGCTTCATGCGAAACAACTCTTTTTAAAAACTCAATATTAGTATTTAATCCTACAACCTTTTTAATGAATGAATGAATAATATTATTATTATTTATTATTAATAAAATATTTCTTTATAAAAGTAGTAAAATTCAAATTACTTGATATTCATCTAAAGCTTTTCTTAAAATTCTTAAAGCATCTGTTCTATCATGACCTTTTACGACTAATTTTGCAATCATAGGATCGTAATATACACTAATTTCATCTCCTTGTACAAATCCAGTTTCTACTCGTATGTTTGATGATGGATTAGGAGTTTTGAGATAAAGTAATGGGCCAGGATCAGGAAGAAAATTACTAGTTTTTTTTTTGAGAGAATGATAATTAATAATTAATAATTATAAAAATAACAATTTATTTCTAAGATGATAAATATATACTTTGATGGGTTTTCTGCATATATACGGGCTTCAAAAGAATGTCCATCAATATTTAATTCTTCTTGTTTAACAGGTAAAGGATTACCAGATGCAACCTATTGTATAACATAGATTAATTAATTAAAGGTCTTTTATTTATATTTATCAAAAAAAAAAAATTCTTTACCTCTAATTGCCATTGAACTAAATCTGTTAAGGTGATCATTTCTGTTACTGGGTGTTCAACTTGTAATCTTGTATTCATTTCCATAAAATAAAATTTTTTGTCTACATTATCCATTATAAATTCAACAGTGCCTGCACCAACATAATTAACAGCTTTAGCTGCTGCTATTGCCTTTGCACCTAATTCATTTCTAATTTCCCAACTTAAACCAGGTGATGGAGCCTCCTCCAAAATTTTTTGATGTCTTCTTTGCACCGAACAATCTCTTTCAAACAAATGGACCACATTTCCACTAGTGTCTGCAAATACTTGCACCTCAATATGACGTGGTGTTAATAAATATTTTTCAATAAGAACTTGATCATCTGCAAAAGATTTCATGGCTTCATTGCCTGTTTTTTTTTAATATTGAATTTTAATTTTTCTTGCTCCAAAAAAAGGCTATTTTTTTTTAAATTAAATAAAAACCTGAGCATCACTCTTTTTAGCAATGTTTATTATTTTCTCTATATTTAAATAACTTTCTGATGATGCTGCAGGTCCCAAAAAATATGCTTCATCTGCCTATAAATAAATAAATGGGTATATATATATATATATAAATGATTTCTTTATTAAAAAAAGAGAGTTTCTGATTGAATCAAATTTACCATTTTAACATGCAAAGCATTTTTATCTGCTTCGCTATATACGCAAACTGATTTTATTCCTAATTTATTGGCTGTCTTCATAATACGACATGCAATTTCCCCTCTAAAAACAACATTTAATCAAACAAATTATTTCAAATTATTTAAAAAAAAAATCAAGAATTTTAATATTATACCGGTTTGCTATTAATATCTTGTCAAATAATGGTTTACGACCTATTCACATGTTTGAATATGAAAATATACAGTATAAATAAAATTATCAAAATATAAAATCATTATTATTTAAATTACCTGAAGCAGATACATAGTTACGACAAATTAAAATTTGATAATTATTATTTTTAAAGAAAATCGATGATAACTTTGACGAAATTAACATAGTCGCAGAAATTTTAATCCGTGATCCACGTATCCTTTTAAGAATTTAAGAAAAGAATTTTTAATTAGTGATCGGCGGGCGCATTTGTATCGCCTTACTATTAACGTTCCTATTGTGACATCATCATGCTTTCGCTTGTAAAACAAACATTTGGACGAATTAGGGAAAGAATTTGATTAATGCCGATTCGGGCAAATTTTTTAAACATAGAAAGTCATGCATTTATTATATAAGTTACATGGGGGCATACTGCAACAAAACCAGACAAAGCGAACATTGGTATCACCAATGATTTCAGGGATCAAAATTTAGTAATGTGATTATTAAAATCTCCCTCATTTGTTATATTTGTTTTTTTCTTGATATATAGGATTACCTCTATATAAAAGTAGTTAATATGAAGTTAAATTACATTAGGTCTGCCATGGAACCCAAGAATTATAGCATCATTAGAAGTATTTTGAAGAACAGGAAGAAAAAATTGCTCCTTATATTTTGTACTTTGGCATTAGAAACTTATCTAAGAAAAGAAAGGATTATCTATGAAATTTACCAAGAAAGAAAAATAATAAACATTAGAAAAAGGAAACACCATGAAGATGCATTACTACCTAACAAAAAGCAGAAACCTTTGGGAGAAGACAAATAAATCTTATTACATACTTAACTATTTTTTCTTTTTAATCCTTTTAACAACATAAATGGGGCATACTGCAACAAAATCAGACAAAGTGAACATTTGCATATCAAGGATTTCAGGGATCAATATTGTTTTTTATAGTGTTTGTATTCATGATATTCAAATATCAATCACATGAATGATATTTGAATATTGTCCGAACAATTTTGAATGAATATAAACACTACTCATGAGGAGCTTTAAACCAGTCATACATTGTTTTTCACCATGCAACTATCTAGTAGCATGTGAAAATGTGCAAATAAACTTAAAATTTGTGTGATATGTCATTCCAAGATTCATTCATATACAAGGATTTGCTTTTAATTGAAATCAAAATAAAATTATTTAGAAAGCTTTACAAGAAATGATCAATTTCATTATGTT